ATTTCAGAGACAGCTGAAGATAAAGTTTAGATTGCAGAGACTGAATACTTTGGTACACAACCCCTCTCTGTGTGTTACAGGAAGTCTCCTCTCTATGATAACTGCTTCCTCCATGCTCCAGATGGCCAGCCTCTGTGTACCTGCGACAAGAAGAAAGCCAAATGGTACCTAGATAAAGGAATAGGAGGTACACTGGATAACTCCAATGTGTGAACATTAAAATCAACTTTTTCCATTTCTGAAATATCTCAAGTTGACAGGATGTCTCTGTCTTTTCTGCGTTTATACCTCTGAAGATATAACTTACAATATCTCTGTTTCTGACGCAGTGCTCCAGAGTGAAGAGCCTTTTGTAGTGAGGCTGCTGTTTGAGCCGTCAGGACGTCCCGACTCCCAACAGGACTATTATCTCACTGCAAAGGAGAATCTCTGCGTCGTCTGCGGGAAAGCTGATTCCTACATCAGGTGTGACATGTTTTACTTGCAAACACTTTCAGTATGGTACCTTTGGAACCAACAGTAACCCTTCAGACATGGTACCTAGACCCTAGCGTTTCCACTGCAAACAGTCCTCTTGAATATGGGCGGGGTTGTTGTCACTCACTGCTCCGTCCAGCAAAAAGTGTATGTCATATTAAAAACTAAAGTGTTGGTCAGAGTTGTCACATGAAATATTTAAGGCGTACTGATGGATTCATGTCGTCAGCTCATGCATTGAGTAACATTACAAGTTAAAACGTTCCACCTTAAAAGTTGCCGGCAGTCGGCCCAGTGAATGAAGTTATATTAATAAAACTCCACAGTATGAACAGTGGTTACATGAGCCTCAAAACCAGCCACAACTCAGTCCTGAGCAGAGTGACCGTTCTCTACTGACCAATCAGAATGCAGTGTTCACAGCTCCACCTTTTAGTACCAGATCTGTGTGCCAGATACCCCAACAGAGGGGGGACCAAACATGGGGACTCTTTAAATGTTATACTAAGACTGATGTTTTAAAAAGGTGAATATTTAATTATGATCACCATCTAACCTAACCCTAACTCATATTTGCCTTCGTCCCGCAGGAAGAACATCGTGCCACATGAGTACAGACGGCATTTCCCCACTGAGATGAAGGACCACAACTCCCACGACATCCTGCTTCTCTGCACCAGCTGCCACGCCGCCTCAAACGTGCACGACAGCTTCCTGAAGCAGCGTCTGGCTGAAGAGTTCTCTGCCCCTCAGGGCTGCGAGGAGGGAGTTCGCCTGCTGGAGGACTTGGACCGACGGCGAGTACGTTCGGCGGCTCGGGCTCTGCTCACCGCCAGGGAGGAACTGCCGGAGCAGCGGCGAGAGGAGCTGCAGGCTTTGATCAAGAGCTTCCTCGACATGAACGAGGAGCAGGAGCTGACGGAGGAGGTGGTGCAGCAGGCCGGCAGTTTGGAGACGAGGTGAGCTTTGACTTGTGTGATTTAAGATTTACACTGAAACAAATAATAACATCAATATTTTCATTTATATCTGTTACATGAGTTTTAAACAAATATTTTCTAACCTCAACCAGACTAACTAAACACTTAAGAAACTTTAGAGATTAAACTGGGAATAAAATCTCGTTTGGCTTAATTTAACTCTGTAAATGGGTGTGGGACAAAACTGAAATAGTCTCAAGCTCCGTTTCTTGTATTAATAATCACAAGAAAATGAGCCACAAGTGGCCGCATGGCACACAAAAGTCCTAAGTTCTAATATTCTTCATACAATTACATTGAGGACGTTCTCTGAAGAATATTTGATTTGGCTTGAATTATGTTTTGTCATGAGGGATATGAACAGATAAAGCAGAGGGTTAGTCGCCCTTCACTTCAGACAAATAATTAAACTGGTAATAAACACAGTTCAAACATCAGTGAGGAAACAAAATGAATTGCTTGTGGCAATAAAAGCTCCACGATCATTTACTTTATGGGGCTGATTATTAACATACTGTGGTTTATTTTTCCTGGCTATTGATACAGAGAAGTGTCTCATTCATAAGCTGAAAAAAATGCTATAATTTTTCTGAAAAAGTGCTAAAGCTAGTTTAAGTTGGCTACAATTAAGGAAGCCTGTCTGATACTTGATTGTTTTATTGTTTACTTATTTCTAAAAAATACCAAATATCAATATTTTGAGTTAAAAATTTTTACCTTTTTATTAGTCAGTATTATGTATATTTTTTTTATGTAAATGCATAAAATTATTTAGGAAAAGAAGTCCTTGAAGCTACAGTTGGTAATTTTTATGGAAATAACTTTTTGCTGAAACTGTCACATACTCAGTATTATATGAGACAAATAGTGGAAAAAAAATCGTATTTCCTCTTCCCTCTCAGTAGGAGTCCTTGTTACAGCTGTCAATTCTATCAGTCACTCCTCATGTGCTCCTCATGAATCACAGTTCTGTTACGGCATTGCCTATTTTTCACCCCAAATATTATTGAGCAACACATTTTAGTGTACTGTTCGGGGGGGGGGGGGGG